ATCTACTACATCAAGGATGGCGTGGTTCATTACGTTGTCATGGCGAGTCGTAAGCTTTCCCCTTCTGAAATGGCCTATTCTACCACCAAACGTGAGTTGCTTGCCATTGTCTACATGCTTACCAAATACCACAAATGGCTTTTCGGTATTGAGTTTGTCTTGCACACAGATCATCGCTCTTTAATCTGGCTTCAAACGCAAAGTACGCCCAACATGATGCTGTTGACGTGGTATGAAAAACTGTTCTTTGATTACAAGTATGAGCTGGTTCATATCCCTGGTACGCGTAACCTGTTACCTGATGCACTCAGTCGGTTATTCACCTCTGACGATGACGAGGGTGGCAATAACCTGGGTGGGGGTAATCGTTATAACAATCAAAGTATTATGCTACCTGAAAAAAAGCGTAAACCTACGCGAAAGAACAAACATGGCTTCACCAACGCCAAAGAGTCCCAAGTCACTCAATTTTCTCTTGCTAAGCCCAATCACTCCAATCGTACGCAGTTCAAACGCAAGAAGCAGTTCAACAATCAAAAGCAATTGCAGCAGCTTTCCTTTGGGATGCCAACCGAATTGGATCCACACTATTATTCCAAGGAATTGAATGATAGCAATGTTGATATTTTTGATGCGAGCACCTACAACATGCCATCTGTCAGCGCTCAAGATTTAAAGAATCAACAGACTGCTGATGCCAAAAGTTCATACAATGGTTCATCTGGTGGACAGTCAGATTGTAATGCTCTTATTTCACGTGCTATGAAATATGCTGATTACATGACTCCTCCGAAGAAGGATCGTCTAGAGCTTGTTATGCGAGTGCATTTACTCGGTCATGTGGGCATCAATTCAATGGAAAAGATTTTGCACAATGATTACAAGGTACATTGGACCAACATGCGCAATGACATCGCCACAGTAACCAAGGATTGTCATGCTTGTCAATCGCATGGTATCTACCAAGTGGGATATCATCCTCCTCGTAGCGTGTTGCCAGACAATGTGTTCGATCATATAGCTATCGATTTAGGTGATTTCGCTACGACTTCCACCTCGGGCAATAACTTCCTGCTAGTCATTGTCGATTATTTCAGTCGATTCACCATTCTACGAGCTCTTCCTGATAAGAGTCCAATCACTGTTGCAAGAGCATTGCTTAGTGTATGTTGTCTATTTGGATTTCCCAAGCGACTCACTAGTGACAATGGCTCTGAATTTGTTGGAGCATTTATGAGAGAGTTCAGTCAGATTAGTGGCATGGATCGCTTGACTTCGTTGCCGTACGCTGCACAAGCTAATGGTGTTGTCGAAGCGTATGTGGGCATTTCAAAACGATCTATCATTAAATCATTGACACACGATGCTGCAGAACCTGAGGCATGGGATGAGTATCTCGATGTCATTCAGTATGCCATGAACATTCAATACGCTAGATTGCATCAATCGCAGCCGTTTGCTATCATGTTTGGGCGTGCCCCAAATCTCTTCCAGGATTACACTCAATTGCCTAATGCTGACCAGACACCCGAGGATCCTACCAAGGAAGTCATTGATGCCCGCTTACAGAACATTAAGGATGTGGTAATCCCTGCCATCCATAAGCGTATCAAAGAAACACAATTGCGCGACCATGAGCGCTTCGAAAAGCATCACAAGATCATTGAAGAGAAGTATCCCATCAATTCAAAGGTCATGCTCTTCGACCCTGTCAGATCAACTAAACTTCACCCCAGATGGCTCGGTCCATATTTCATCAAGAACTATACTCGCAATGGTAGTTATACGTTAGCCGACATTACTGGTGAATTGCTGCCCCGTGATGTGCCTACCCAGCACATTCGCGTTGTCGATTTCTCGGACAATCATGTTACAAAAGGCTTACTTCCTCGCCACTATGAAGTGCAAGCCATCATCAATCATCGCGTTGAAAGAAAGACTGGTCGAATGAAGTTTCTTGTCAATTGGGTAGGTTATCCGTCCTCGAAGGACAATACCTGGCAATATGAAAGCGATTTTGATTCCAAACGACCTATTCGCGACTACTGGGATCGCATTGCACCGGATCACAAGAATCCCAATCGACTCCTTCCCAACACTGTCAATAAGCGCAAGATTTATAGTCGTCGTAAGCATGCAGGACCGTCCGTCACATTGCGTTATCCGTCGATTCCAAACTCTCGTAACCACAACATTCAGCAATAGCCGTGATCTTTTTGTCCTTGATTTGTTTTTTTTGGCCTGAATATGGTTTTTTTTTTTACAAGGTTTTTCTTCGATCTGCTATTCCCTTTGCTGCTATCATCTTCTGATAACCTCTCCTCGTATACCCCATGTATGTTGTTTTTTTTGGCACCATCTCGGTTTTTTTACTTCATATTGGTTTCCATCGCTTTGCCTGTCTACCTGTTTGTATCGCCTTCTTGTTTCTTGGTTCTGTCTCTTCGTTCTGTGTTGTATCCTCGATTATTGCATTCGGCTCGTATGATATCCTAGTTTGTGGCTGGTCGAAAGCTGGGTGGGGGTAATGTTGCATACAAGCATGCATCTTAGGCTACATTCACTTTCTCCTCAAGCCACCTTTTACAGTGTAGCAGCATAGATGATGTTTATCGTATCACATCACATCTATGTTTACAAGTCCAGTCAATTGTGTGTGCACAGGTGCCTCAGGAACTACAATACATTCAATCTCCCCAATGTCAAAATATCGAGATCCACCTACACTACATGAAACATACCGACTTAGGTGGCCTCTCAACAAGCTATACCAACAATCCATAAGGCCCCAGTGGCCTGCTATTTATATACCATCTCAACGTAGTAGTCATTGACCAGGGATCTACCATATTTAAGCAAGCTAGATGCCCTGTAATAAAGAAGCTCTTTGCTTTCGTTTTAGATACAGTTGACAACTGATTATTATCATCGACTTATTATTACGAATTCATCAATAACAATGGATAAAAGTTCTATTAATTGGATTAACAAATAAGTCAACTCAGATCAACTAATGTCTAATCATACTAAAAGACAACTCCAGCAAGCTAATCATGATTTAGCTCTGTCTGGATGAATAATTAGACTCTCATCCGAAGTACCCTGATCTATCCTTTCTATAAGGATAATTAATATCGATCTAGTAGCATGTATCCGATAGGTACAGTCTACTTAGTCTATATTAATAGTACATATCTGAGTGTATATCGCTAAGCATACATCTTTAGCATGTATCTGGATATATGGCATGTCTATAGCATATCGTATGCATGTCTATAGCATGTCTCATATATAGTACAAGTCTGTAGTACATAAAGTATCTGTAGCTAGTATCACGGATATAAGCATGTGTCTTATAGCATGGATCATGAAGTGCACATCTGAAGCAACAAGCTCATATTGCATTAATCTTGGTGCCTATCCAGATATGGTAAACATCCGTAGTCAATGTCGGAATACAAGTATAAGTCTATAGCGCCATCCATGTCCGTGGTGCCATCTATAGCCTATATCTTATATAGTATGAATCTTATAGTACTAGCGTATCTGAAGTTCATATCTTCTTATAGTACAAATCGATATCGTACATCTAATCTAGTGTACATACAGTTTATATCTAAATCTGGTAACTGGATGAACTGTCGGAATGCAGATCATAGTGGATGTATTCCACACATATATTGAAATACCGTTCTTGATCCATCATCAGATCAACAACTAAATAACCCAACAAAAATATATAAAGTAATGGAATCACTGGCAACTACTAAACTGCTGCCAGATAAGAGATATAAACCAAATAATATAAATAGAGACGTAGAATATACATTTTATTGCACATTATCCTAATTTCGAATAAAGAAGGATTTTAACAGTATTCTACTACCTGCTTTTTTAATCCCCCTTTTACTGCAATTGGGATAGTTCTTACAGTCTTCCTTTCCACACAACAATACTCATATCTTGATTACCAACTACCAAGGTAATCATTATAGAGAGCTTGATATTTATCAGTTAATTTCTTCTAACAGGTCTTATATATAGTAGTACTTGTAGATTTTGTCTTCTTGTCACGTGATATATTTTTCCTTCAAGCTTCTTGATTCTATGTAGTTTGATAACCTCAAAATGATACTTGCACAATGCTTCCATGGCAAATTTACCATATCGATTTTATTTTTCATCTTTTTGAGAACACTGTCCGCTTTTTGATTAAGTTGGCCAGATGTTTCCAGTCATCATCAGCCCATAATGCATAATGTAAGGTGTTTATTTGAGGTTTTCACAGTGGTAAGAGTAAGGCCTAATTATCTAATTATCTAATCTGATTAATTCTTGTATATGAATGAAGATATGTTTAATGGGTGGACTGATATACTCAAAAACGCTCTGCATGTTTCGCTTGGGTGGAAACAATGCTGCCAACGAAATGTCCCTCGGTTATCCTATTTACCACCAAGTTTGTGTAAGGTTATGCCATTTTAATAATAACCCGAAATGGTAATATAAAAGGTTGATTACAGCCCATCTATTTTACTCCATTAATTTGACATGCTTTGGTACATTATATTATGCTCGAGTGACCCGTGCAATGATTTACAATGAATCCAAAAGGCCGATGTGCTTTTTTTGCCAAGAAGAGATTCGGAGTGAACATCTTGTCTAGGTCATTTAGCAGTTAATGACAACATTTTGATTCATGTATATTACAAAGTGATGTATTGATTTGTTGCACATAATTTCGCTGTATTAAATAGTGAGTAGGAGGGCCCGTGAAAGAGGATCTTCCATGTCATACTGTAATTGTTAAATTGTTTTTAGCGTAAAAAAAACGCACCATTATTTGAAGATCTTTTCATAAGTGTCAAATCATAAATAAATATTGCGAAAAGCCTCGACCTAGAAATACACATTATTTTGTTAAACATTTTTTTTTATGTAAAATCAAAAAGGAAAGTGAGGGGGGATATTTTTGTTTTTGTTTAAATACAATGCAATCTCTATTTTGATGCAATTCTTTCTTGATAACGAACCCAACCATAGTAACCTGATCCCACCAAGGCCAAAAAGATACCAAGACCATTCTGTAATAGCAGATTTAATAAGAATTGCACATTTAAAACAAGGCACAAAAAAAAACTTACTAAGCCAGAGATAGGATTTTGGAAGATCATGGCTGCTAAAACTGTTTGGACACAAGACTAAAAATAGGATTGTGGTTTTTTTTTAGATGTTTAGAATAACGTGTGTTGAGTGCCAACTTACCTTTGCAGTACCGCTGATAGTATTTGTCAAAGCGGATGTATACTTGACCTGCAAGAACATGGCGATATTGATACCAAAACCGGTAATACCAGTAATAGTCTATTTCGTATGGCTCAATGAACATTGTCCCCTCCCTTTTTATCCAGTTTGATAAACTTACCATAAGGATCCAAAAGTTGAATGTATAAATAATATCTGATGTGGATACAATCTCGCTAATCTCACCGGAAAGCAACAAAAGAGGAGAGAGGAAAATGATGGCAAGCGTGGTGTTGTAATGAAGCAATTTCCTAAAAAGAAGAAATCAAATTAATACACACTTGTAACAAGATCAAGTAAATATAAAAAAAGATATTCTTACCATTGATTGTTATCTACAGCTGCCAAAGTCTTTTGGACATAGATACCATAAAGAGCGACAAAAGCAGATGAGCCGACGCCGTACACAACACCAGCCCAAGAAAAATTGATTTCACCATATGAACCGATAACGAAGCCCAAAAATACAATAAAACAGGCGACCAAAGCAGGTGTAGATGTCTTCTTTCCAAGGATCACATAAGTGAATAAGATAGTAAAGTTGATGGACAATGATCTGGCAACCTGAATAGGGATGATAAGCACTCGCTCACACACATACACTTTCCCTTGCACGCTTTCAGGACAGAAAACTTACTTGATAAAAGGTAACCTCGACGTACTTCAAACACAAGTTGTTCAACACCAACATGCCAACATAGACAAAAGTCAAGGGTGCAACTCTCTTGGCGATCACCATATTGAACTCATAAGGTGGGATGATGCTAAAGAGCTTGTTGCTATAAAGAGCATTGATGAGCCACTGCACTGTAACCAACATGTCCCCTATTTACCTTTTACCGAGCTGTGCCCATACCAACAAAAGGACCAAAGCCACCACGAGTTGATACCAAGTGACAAAAAGAGCGTAAGGGAAATCGCTTGATCCACTGAGGATGATCTTGTTGAGAAACACCACCGAGAGGGAGATAATGAAATAGAAACTGACCACAGCTGCAATCAGAGGCAAAGGATGCTGCTTCTCTCTAGTTTGAACGGGAGCGGGCAAGAAGGGTTCCTCGCTTTCGTCCATATCCTTGCGGTTCATCTGGATATCATTATTTGAAGAGCTCATTTTGGGTGTTTTCTAATAGAGAGAAAGAAGAAGAGGAAAGAGGGGTTAAAAAGGGGATCCTTTTAATAGAAATCTTTTTTCAGCCCCCTCCTTCATTTGCACATTTGAGTGTGTGTGTGGCGGCGTCTATTTAAAAGAATCGATTAAACTAGCTCAAGTGGGCAATCAAAGATTTTTTGTCTCTTTTACACCTTCTCCATATCATAAAATGCATGTCCTGTGTGTCGCTGAGAAGCCAAGTGTAGCAAAGACACTCACCGAGATACTGTCTGCTTCCAGATTTGATACAGTAACTACGCACTCAATTGAATGCCTCGAATCCCACATCTCACAAACTGATTTCATAGAGACCTTCTGCCGATATGTACGTCAAGAACTATGATTTCACTTACAACCTCAACAACAGACCCACACGGTTCACCATGACAGCTTTGAGGGGACATATTATAGAGCTACATTTTGACGGTGCCATCGACAGGAATTGGAGCGATTTCAACTTTGAAGATCTGTTCCATGTGCCCATCCGAAAAGCAATTGCAGAGCAGAGCATCGCCTTGTCAAACAATATTCGAAATCAAGTCAGACATTGTGATGTGCTCTTTATATGGACAGATTGCGATAGAGAAGGAGAGGCGATTGGAGGCGATGTGGCAGATCTATGCAGACAGGTGAATCCTCGAATCCAAGTATGGCGAGCCAGATTTTCCACCATGCAACCCCAAGAGATTCATCATGCTGCGCAAAACCACGCACAATTGGACATGCGACAAGTGGAAGCTGTCAGAATCCGCACTGAACTAGACTTTCGCATTGGAGCAGCCTTTACACGATTGCAGACTACACGCTTAAGGCCACATTTCCAAAGCCAAAATAATAAAGTCGTGAGTTATGGCAGCTGTCAGTTTCCAACATTGGGTTTTGTTGTGGATCGCTATCAACAAATTCAAAATTTCATTCCCGAGCCGTTCTGGAAGATTGTGCTATCGTATGTTCATCGCAGAAACGATGGCTCAGAACTAGTGACCATGTTCAAATGGAGGAGAGAACATCTGTTTGATCAGTGGGCCTGCTTCATCTTGTACGAGATCTGCTTTGAAAAGAAAATTGCTACAGTCACCCAAGTCAAGTCCAAATCAACATCCAAATGGAAGCCTCTGCCGCTGACGACGGTGGAACTGCAAAAAGTGGCATGTCGTGCTCTTCGCATGTCTGGCCACCAGATCATGAACATTGCAGAGAAGCTGTATTCCATCGGTTTGATCAGTTACCCTAGAACAGAGACAGATCAGTTTGATCCAGACTTCGATTTCATGTCCTTGATTAACATGCAGACAGGCGATCCGCAATGGGGCCAATACGCTCAACTGTAAGGCTGCAAATTCAGATGGGTATTTCAGATACTAATCACTTGCTACAGCTTGCGAGACGGTGAATTCGAGCGACCTCGCAACGGTAGAGGAAACGACAGAGCACATCCACCTATTCACCCGACCAAATACAGCTTGGCTGGACTCAATGCTGACGAGAAACGAGTGTATGAATTCATTGTGCGTCGGTTCCTGGGCTGTTGCTGGAAGAATGCGCTTGGACACGAAACGGCAGTGGAGGTCAAGATGGACACCGAATACTTTGACGCAAAGGGCCTCGTCATCTTGCAGAGAAACTATCTCGAAGTCTACACCTATGATCGATGGAATGGCAATGAGATACCTGAATTTGTCGAAGGCGATGAATTTATACCAGACACACTCAAATTCGAATCAGGACGCACGACACCACCGCAACTGTTGACAGAACCAGATTTGATCAGTTTGATGGAAAAGAACGAAATTGGCACAGATGCAACGATCGCAGAGCATATACAGAAGATCATTGATCGAGGTTACGTTTTTAAAGAGAATCAGTACTTTAAGCCCCTGACATTGGGCATCGCGCTGGTACTCGGCTATGATCAAATAGATTTTGAAGCAAGTTTGAGCAAGCCATTTTTACGAAGACAGGTAGGGTATATACAACAGTAACTACGCATGTCTACTCATGCGCAGACATAGATGGAGGCAGACCTGAAATCTATTTGTGAAGGCAATGTAGGCCAAGAAGAGGTGCTGGCTCGAGGTATAGCTCGTTATCGCGAAATGTTCCAACGCACAATCGAGGAGTTTTCCAGGATCAATGCATCCATGACCCAATATTTTAGAGACGATGATGATTCTCGACACAATACTGGACGCGGCGGCGGCAATGACAATGGCGGTTTTGGTGGAGGCAGAGGTGGCGGTAGTGGCGGTGGAAGAGGTGGAAGAGGCGGTGGCCAGGGTCGTGGATCTGGCAGAGGCAACAACCATGACAATGGAAATGGTGGAGGTCGTGGCAGAGGAAGAGGCGCTGGATCTACTTTCAACAATGCTTCAGGTGGATTTCAACGCCGTGGCCCACCACTGGATCCTCCAAAATGCAAAGATCATCAGCGGCCCATGGTATTGCGAACAGTCAACAAGGCTGGACCGAATAAAGGAAGAGAATTCTACACTTGCACGGACGACAATTCATGCACATTCGAATGGGCAGACGAGCAGGGCGCAACTACAGCCAGAACTTCCAGCAACACAAGCACGCACACTCGTGGCAGCAACAATAGTAGCAATGCTACACCCTTTTGTAAATGCGGAAAGAGCAGTGTAGAACGTACGGTACGAAAGGAGGGCCCAAACAAAGGAAGGATGTTCTATGGCTGTTCTGCTGGCAAAGATACTGGCTGCGACTACTTTGAATGGGTTGACCAAATGTAAACACAACAAAAAAAGAACTCTGTATTATATGTGTAAATGTTCATATTCCCCTTTCATCTTGAAACTATAAGACACACATTGATACGAAATGTATATACAAATTTATTAAAATTGCCTTAATTCCCGTATTAAACTCAATTTCTTGATGATCCAAGCTTCTTCTGACTCTTGTATCACTTTAGCAACATCATCTGGCTTAGCTGTGGGAGGATATTGCTGCAACATGTAATTCTTGACAAAGGTATACTTGTAAATCACTCTTGGATCGATACCCAGGGACTGTAATTTGGTTTGCAATGCCTCTTTCCATGATATTTCTTGTGTGGGTTGGTCTAAAAGTCGAGATAAGGCATCCGGATCCACTGTATCATTATTTCTCATCGTCATGATGCATTTCAAAACAGACTCGGAATAAGCGCAAATATGCTTGTCACTCAGATTGTGTGATGCGAGCGTATCAGCCAAGACTTGGTAGCGCTTTGGGTACAGTGGCTCAGGAGTAATGCTTGTATTGAAGCCGGATAATAGCCATGACAAGTTAGCATGAATTGAACGAATACGTAGACATATGGTGTTGTTGGCCGCAGCAGCACCTCTTTGATCGAATATGGAATTGAACGAGCTTTGTGTAGCGGAATCGTCTATACCATGAAAATGAACAGCACTGCTAGATTGCCCTCTTTGCTCTTGATGATCGCTGCTGTATGAATAGGTGATAATGATACCCTTATCGCCAACATAGTGTAATTCATTCTGACCATCTTTGGGTAGCATCAAATTATGCACTTGCTCCATTGAGGGATTGTATTGAAGATGGAAGAGCATCTGTGCACGGTCCACTAGGTTCAGATTGAGCAACAATTCAGAGTTTTGAGCTGTTGTTTCCTGTTGAGACCATTCACTGAACTGAATTTGAGTCTTGACATGCTTCATATCTTGATCCAAATACACAACATTGTCATCGTCATCTTGAGGTTGTTGGCAATTGAACTCAATGACCTGATTCTCAGCATCGAACTGATAAGGCTTCATATCAACTAGTGCTGTTCTTCCTTTCTTGCCAATCTTGACGTACAGCTTGGTTTTCTTTGCTTTCACCGAGAGATATAGGTGATACTCGCATTGCTGTCTCCACGTTTTGCAGACTGATCTAATTCTATAAATCTCTGAATAAGCGAGGTATGAGAATATTTTGTCTAGGATTTCTACTGCCAGCATGGTGATGTTAATGTGCTGATCACAAATGAAAAGAAAGATAAGCAAATGTTGTGGGAAATTGATGCCTTTTATACTTTTTTCATAATCTGCTTAAGGCTGATCTGTGTAATGCCTGCATTTCAAAAAGAGCCCCAACAGATGGCCAAGCAAGTTTCTTTGGTAATCTCTGTTCTTTTTCTCATCAATGCAAGAAATATCGCGATATCCCCTCATAATGCTGCAAATAGAGCTTCTTTGACACACTTAACTACAAATTGAAGACATTTTTTTTGGAGAGATTGTAGTATGAAGAGGTTGCAAACACTATGCAGCATGCCAACATTCCATCTTGTAACTAGACTGGATCGAAAACATCGAATCAAGATTGCCAAAGCTTTCAATGAAGCAGGTCTGAACCAGCTACACTCATTTCACTGTCAATCCTACTTTTCATAGAACCACACTTTTGACTGATAGTCAAATTCATCACCACGCATCACAAGGTTAACTTGCGCTTGGATTCCAAATGGCAAGTGAAGCACCATGGGGAATGAACTCAGCAGATGTAAAATCATTTGAAATTTTAAATGTTGGCTTTCTCTCCTCACCACAATTTCTTTACCATGCCAACAGCAACATCAGGCCATGCAAAGGATAGTAAGTGAGCACACTAGAAAAATATCAAGAAAAGCTTGTACTGATAACACGATGACAGATACGTGGCGTATGGAGAACTGTCCAGCAGATTCTGTGACACTTGGAAAAGCAGCTTGGACATTATTACACACAACCGCAGCTTATTACCCTGATCGACCAGCACCATCACAAATGGATTCAATGCGAGCATTTATGACTTCATTTATAGACAACTATCCATGCTTTAGCGTACGTCAAGGGATATCAGATGAATGCGTATATAATACTTACAGGATGGGTTAGAGAGAATTCAAACAATACATGATCGAAGAGCCTATTCGAGTAGGTAGCAGAAAGAAATTAAGCGAATGGCTTTGTAGACAACATAACAAAGTCAATGAGAAGCTTGGAAAACCTGCATTTGATTGTAAAGTTGTGTTTGATCGTTGGTTGCAAGGGTCCTGTAAAGAGTGCGATCAATGAATGATTTGATTATCAGATCCTGCCCTCTGTGAAATGTATATAGTATGGTCCATCAATAAAAGAATTGTAATTCATATCGACATTTGGGCTTCTATATCAAGCTAAATTAAATAGAAAACTTTTTTTATAGTTATTATCCAGAATCGCTCGAAATGCAGTTGCTACTAACAAAAACGATCAATGTATACATTGTACTAGCCGATCGACCTCGCTACACTCAATGACGACGTTGCCTTGCGGGCTCTCGCCGAAGACATTTCAAATCAGAGATAACAAGAATTTCGTATATCAAGTAGATTTTAAATAATCAATTAATAGTAAAAGAAAGGTTATGTCAGAGTCAGGAGGAGGGGGGGAGGGGAGTATTTCCGCGTGCATCCACCCCTACTTTGCTTATACACTGGTAGCAAACGAAAGCTATTATTGAAACGATGTGAAAGAGCTAGTAGTAGAATTGTCATACCATTCACTGATGTTGCTCATGAGATGGCGACATAAAGCTGGCCATGCGTAAATACAGGGCTTGTATAAGACCTACAGCGACCTTTTTTGATAGGCTGTCTTTGCAAAAGACACTCTTATAGGGAAAAAATCCCCAGAAAAAAAATTATTCGGGGTAAGCAATTGTCCTTTTGAATTCATGATCCTCATTTAATCAGCAACGCAATCATTATTGCCATCATCATTGTCATCATCAGAAAGGCATTCGGATTAGCCAGCGGCAGCACAGCCAGCCAAAATTAATTTAAACTCAGATTTTCTTTTTTTTCACTATTGGTCAGATTTTGCCTTTTTTCGACTTGATTGAACTATTTTATAAGATTCGACTATATAAACTGTGATGATCTCCCTACGCTTCCTAATACATTCTTGGAGTACTTTTCAAGATGCTTCCAATGGTGCTAACTGCAATAATTGCTTTGACTGAAGTTATTGAGCAATTTAATAAAATTTGAAATGAGGTTTTTAGCGAAAATAGCCATATTTTGCATATGAAAGCCTCATAAAAGTAGTTTCAGAGGCTGCTTTGGATCGAGAGAAACATTTTGATCTGATATAGACCATAGTAAAAGTCTTCATTTTCAAGGTGAAAAATGGGATCGTTTGATTTTTGATGAAAAGCATGAGGTACCCCTCATGCTTTTTGGTCGATTTTTGGCCATGTTTTTTTTGGACCCAAAAAGTTGAGCAAAGGTATCTAAAAGTTACTACTACTCGAGTGCAATTGTTTGGCGTTATCCCGGTGGCTCAGAGAGGTCTACATGTCAAGATATGAAGACTTGAAGACTGTCAAGTTTGATTGTATTTTTGCTTTATAGCTTTTATTTACATGGCATGAATCGCATTTTTGGTAGCTGAAATCTTCTGGAAGGGCAGTTCTGCAACCTGTGGAATTTCTAGTTCAAATAGAAGGGATACTGATTCTGGTAAGGCTAATCCATGCAAGTTTTGATGCGTTATGTTGTTGGTAAGCTTATTAATAATGGAAATGAAAAACCGAGTTTGCTGCTTGAATGCTATGGTTTTGTACCTTCGCTTTGCTACGGTAAAACAGTCCTCAAGATTAATATTACCAAATGTTGGGTTAGATGCTTAGTTGCCATGGTTTTGCACCTTTGCTTCGCGACGGTAAACCCCTCTTACAGGTCAATGTTACCAAATGTTGAATTAGATGCGTCATGTTCTTGCAGGAGTTTCCCAGTATACATATTAGAAAGCAGTAATCTAGATATTGTTGCCTCTGAACTCGCAGATTTCCAGGGCATGATAAACACTCATGAACTTGATATACCATTGCTCAAATAGGGCCGATATCTACAGGGTCTCTTTCTAATATCATAGCTCGAGCGTGTAACGATATAGCAACGGCTCAAGTGACAAGGCAAAAATCTAAAAACAGCTATATAGTTCAAAAAAAGGAAATGAGACTCAAATATGAATGACATTTGCTTCATTCGGAATGTTTGTTTGCCACAAATTACTTTGCACAGGCTTATATTTAGGTGTGCCCAACTAAACATCTTTTTCAATAAAATGCTTTACAACACACTAGGTTATACAAGCGATATGGCAAACAGGTTCCAATCTTCTCGATGAATTAGCATATAATAAGACTATACATTGAATGGTGAATGAGCATTTATGTAATATTGAAAAATGACCACTTGCGGAGCTCTGTATCACAAATTGCTAAACCATTGGATCAATAAAAACGTAGTGTAACGCCGTTTTCTATAGTTGACCATGTAAATATGGTCTCTCTTAATATAAAATGCGGCTGTTTTTTACTAGCTTTGTAGAAACTATATGATTCCATTTGGTAATAACAAAAAGCGTGTTGATTCAGGGTCACTCATCTGCTCGGGATCATAAACGATTGGTACACCAGCACCTTGTTCAATAGTTCATCATGCAACCCTTTATTTCCTGACTTGAGAAAACCTTGTTAAAAGATGTGATACAATTGATTTTTTTTTAGATAAAAAAAGTTACTGATCCATGGAATTTTGATAGAGGGTGAGAGTAAATATTATATCAACATGCGCCCATGTGTAAGCGTGTGTATGTTGATTTTTGTGAGCATATCTATCGAGATAAAGTGTATAAATATAACCTTTTTACCGTTTTTATTAAGTATCTTTTTTTTCGCCAACATGTTTGACAACAAGGCCTGCTTCGCCAGGATAAACAAAAGAGAAATGAGATTAGCATATCCATTGAGAAGCATCAACTGAACCAGTGCAACTTTCTTGAGCACTTTTTTTTTTCCTTTATGTAATAAGAAGGGTCTTTGAAAAAGGGATTTCACACCCAAAGAACCCTTTTCATCATGGTAATACAATGTCCTTAATTTGAAGTTCATGGGAATATTATGGTGGTTTTCAATAGAGTGTATCACCTGTTCGCTTATGATCTGCTCTCGTATAAATAGACACTTTGTTTATATATGGTCTATTTGGTATCTTTTGCTATCACGCTTCTTCTTTTCTCTCCTTCTCTCTTTCCCCCTCTTGTTTGATTTCTCAACATTTGAAAACATGCCTTTCAAAGATGGCCTTTTCGCCTCTCCCTTCACAAGCACGGACGAAGACATCGATCCAACGACCGAGAAAGCCAAAGAAGTCTTGGCCCAGCCTCCTGCAACACGATGGGAGCTATGGGGCTACTATCTTTATTATAATGGAGACAATGGTTATACCATGTTCAGTTACATGCCCAACATTCTGCAGTATTTAGCTTACAAAGGCGGCTTCTACCCAGATACACATAATGCCAGAGGCTGCGATACACATGATTTGGATAAAAGTTGCTATGTGTCCTGGTCTGGTACGAGCGGCATTCCAGTATCTGCCATGATGCTTTACGTCCAAGCCATCTCGTTTTCGATCCAGTTTTTACTATTCACTACATTTGGTAGTCTTGCTGATTACGGTAAATGGAACAGATACATCTTGTTGGTGGCTACGGTCATAGGTTGTGTTACTCAGATTGTACCTGTCGCCTTCTTGAATGATGACGGATCGAGTTGGAATGCGATGCTGGGCATCATGATTCTAGCTTTGATCTCGTATGGTACATCACTCGTATTCTATGGCGCTGCTTTTCCTACATTAAGGTACAACAGGACCCTCACAACATGGGCTATACGCTCGATACTGACATGATTCATAGTGACAACTTGCCTGTCGTGCGTAAAGCTCGTGCTGATCCGAATTTGACAAGTGATGAAGCAAGCTTTATTGTTGAAAAATGGAGAAATCATGTATCTGCTACCTCGACTGTGTTCTCCAACGTAGGCTTCTTGGTCATGACAGCTCTTTTATCTGGCATCTCCTTTCTTCCCTGGAACAACTATGAATTCTTTGGGGATGATGCTCATGTATTGGGTAATGTGCCTTTATTCAATTTCATCTCTACTGCTGTCTGTGGTGGTTTCTGGGTCCTCAATGCCATTCCCTACTTCCTTGCTGTTCCTTCCAAGAGACAAGGCCCTCCTCTTCCTGCTGATGCCAATCATTTCACCATTGGCTGGAAATCAGTCATCAAAGCCTTTAGAGAAGCTCGTAAATTGCGCTACTTGTTTCTATACATTTTCGCTTATTTTATGTTCTCTGATGCCGTCTCCACTATCAACCAAATGATTGCAATTACTCAAGCTCAAATTACAAGCTTCAATGCTCAACAGATCACTATTCTCAACTTGGCTTCTTCTGTTACATCCATTATTGGCTGCTTATTCTTTTTGTGGCTCTCTAAGCGCTTCGGTGTTCGCACAAAGACGAATTTACTAATCATCATCTTGCTCACTGGTGTGGTACCTGTTTGGGGCTGTTTTGGTATTGGTCTCAAGAACTTTGGTATCCGTACTACTTGGGAACTTTGGGTGTTCTATGTTTGGTCTGGTCTTTTCACTGCTCCTATTTGGGCATGGCAAAACACCATGCTTGCTGAACTTGTGCCCAGAGGTAAAGAAAACCTGTTCTTTGGTCTTTTTGGTGTCATCAATAAGGCTTCTTCATGGATTGGCCCTGTTGTCATTGGTGCCATTACTCAATACACGGATAATCTTTGGAAGGGCTGGCCATTTGTCCTGGCTTTGTTCCTCTTGTCGTTTGTGATCATTTGGTTCATTGATGTCGATAAAGCCAAGGTTGACATTGCCAACTATTTGGCTGAGCAAGATGCTGTCAAGGGCCATACTGATGGCAATGAGCTTGTTATCGCACCAGACGAGAAGACAGCTTACTAAATTCTTATACTTATTATTTAATACCTATATCTAATTCCTTCATAATAATAAAACACTGCTAATATGTTGATATCACTTAGTTTATTGCTGCTACATCTTATACATATAAATGAAATATATGTAGAAAGTTGTCCAAACTAGTTGCATAATGATCCACAAAAGATGTCCGTTGTCGTCTGTGTGGTCGTTTTGTGGTTCTTCCATTAATGCAAAGCTATCTTGTCGAAGACTTGATCCAACATTGCGTTGAACAGTCTGATTTACTTTGCTAGGTGATTTGGCAAATTTTCGAGCAACACACATTTGATTCATGACCTCCGAGCATGTTTTGCTGAGCCTGCGATGATTTCTTAGTCCTTTATCTCCATGAAACCCAGAGCGTCCACAGAGGCCACATGTCGTGCCTGTTTGAAGGGTGAGTATAAATTAGGTACACAGGTATTTGACGTATACTTGCTACGCTGATGATACGATTTCTTGGTTCTCAAATGAGGTTTACGCTTGCTTTGATTAGCCATGATAATCCTATTTGCAAAATATCATGCAGATCCAATCCCTCTCTTTTTTTATATGTGTAGACATTGTAACAATGACATGCCAAACCCTTAATCCAACAATGATCCGCAGTAAGTCATAAAACAGTTCTTTTGTCATGGGGATAAAATAGAAAGGGGTTTATTTTTTTTGATTGTTTGAATAGATACTAATGAGCTACATAAGAAAGAGAGGGAAATTTACATACAAGCGAGAGAAACAGTAAAAGAGAATGACTTAGGCATCGATGAGCTTCTCAATGCTATTAACAAGCTCATTGCCTTCCTTTACATAATTAATTGGAGTCATATCAACGCAAGTATACTTGATACGAGTAATATCCTGCAAAAACAATCATTAATACAATGATCCCACTACGCTCGACGCTTCCGACTTACATTGTATGTTTCTTGTTTGGCTCTGAGCTTGAGGTTGAAGGTGGAGAAAAGTTTCTTGTTGATGGCAGCATTAGAAGCAGAAGTATTAGCCTCCTTTATTGCGGTAAGCTCATTTGCGCTCATGCCCAACAGCAAGTTGCCTTGGTCATCAAATAAATTGCAGTAGATTTGAGAAGTAGCATCCTCGACACTCGCCGTCAAGATGTATCTGTAGTCGGGTGTAGCATAGGTCTTTTGACATTTCTCGCAACGCCAGCCATTCGTTTCAAGAGTAATCTTCTTCTTACATTCAGGGCAACCAGGATAGGCAAAACTCTCAGACTTAGCAAAGACAATAGTGCCTCTCGTTTCAAAGTAGTCAGGCTTGTCGCCCGTACCCAACTTTTCATCCTTGGCTTCTTGTAGGGTTATCTTGCTGCGCTTGGTGATGCCCTCTCCGCTGGCACCGACCGTACTAGAGTAACTGTTGAATTGTGAGCTGACGCCCTTGTCTGTGTACCATTGTTGGAGACGTTTGGCTTCAGGAATGTCGGGATTGATCTTGCAAGTGGCGGAAGCACTCAATGACAAGGAACGACCACTGAAATCATTGACACGGACGCCCTTACACGCAATTACAGGTGAGCCGGTAGCATCGAATTGTTCGGCTTGAGAGCCCCATAAAGTGAGACGGATGGTCTTGAGAGAGTCATCGGCGAGAGTCAACTCTCTCTTCTTGAGCTAATTCAGCAATATTAACAAACTGGTTCAAAATCATCATTTGACGCCATACTTACAGGTCTGCCAGTGGTTTTTGTGATGATCTCAGAAATACCCATATCTTCAGTAACAACACCGAGAACATCTAAAGCCAGTGGTTCAGCACCTTGATACTCCACTCCCTTGCCATACCCAGCTTACCGCAGTTACTGTCCTTTTCATGCTTGTCGATATCAGCAATCTTTACAAAGTTGTACTTAACTTGAGGGATGTTGGAGGCCTCCTCACACTACAATTAATCAGCTTAGTAAATAACCCACATCTATTATGATCCCTGATACAACTTACAGCTTGGATTTCGGTACCATTCTCAAACACCAACTCATACTCATTGTTCAATGTAGAGAACTGCTTTCTAGCCATGGTGACACGAGCCTTGGAGATGTAGTATACTTTGCCTTCCTCCAACAAGTTGAAGAAACGGTCCACTTGATCAGTAAAGATGGTAGCTTTGATCTCACCAGAGGAATCCAAGAGATGCACGCTGAACAATTGACCATCACTCTTTGAATTGTGCCATTTTTTGATTTCTGACTTTTGAGTGACACGAGCCTTGATGTGCCATCTAAACACATGTACATTTCAGTGTCTACTGTTCAACTAAACTACAATAAGAAATGCTTACCTAGTCTGATAGGGATTCAAGTTGCTGATACCAGTGACATTGGCATCCAGAGCCATGTTGGCAGCATTACCAGACGAAAAGTTGGAGTTGTAGTCATTTCTGGGCTCTGGCTTTGGCTCTGGCTTGACAGCTGACACTGGAGGAGTAGATGGGCCGGCTGCGCTGGAGGAATTGGAGTTCTCCAAAGAGGCAGGAGCGCCAATTTTGGCGTCAACATCCACTTGCACCACATCAAAGTTCAAAAGAATTAAGATCCTATCATCATGCAATACGCATTGGTGAGTGTCCTAGTGGCATGTAAGAAGAGCTTTTATGACCTTACTTTCTATTTTGAAGAGGATTGCAGACGAATTCCTTGAGTGTAATGATACTATGACGCTTGATTTGCTCTGAGTCAACTAAAGGTGAGTGCTGCTGAGCGAGCATGGCTGCGGACAATGTGATGAGTATACACAAGTTTTGAGAGCATTTAAAGTGGCATCTTACCTTGCATAAAGTTGACACCATCAGAAATAATGACTCTACATGCAAGAGAGAGAGAGAAGCACTTGAATAAAATTGACCAAGTTACTGCGCAGAGAGATACTATACCTGTGACGGATGCCGCCTTGCACAGTGACAGCCTTGATGTTGATGATTTGAACAGTGGGGTTGCTGTGCAATGGGTTGGCCTTTTCTTCGTCGTAGAGAACTTTGATAGCACCTTTTGAGAGAGACATTTGGGCCTTGGGTGAAGAGAAAGAGTATGAAGTAGAAAAAAAAAGCAGCAAGTCAAAACGCGATGCACTTTTTTTAAACCAAAGGGTCGCGCCAAATGAACTAGAGCGTGCCAGCACCGCGTTAGAGTCTTTTGAAGTGGTCACTGACATTTTTGAATAGCAGCGTAGCTTGTCTTGAGGCAGATCTAAGGATGCTCAAATGCAGCTTCTAGTGAACACCATGGGATTACATATTGCCAGGAGCTCAGATGCTCTTTTGTACAAGCTGGCAAGCTGCAATGCTATCCTCGAGTGAACTGCTCTAATAAATTCATGGCCTATAAACAAACGTCCTCTTGCAATGACTCCATACATGCTTCAACCTACACATGGCCCTACAAGGCAAGTAATACACACAGAATGTCTGCATAGAGGAAAACGCAAAATAATTGGGACACTTTGCGAAAACTTAAGAGACAGAAATATAAAACAGATGGGGCAATTCTCAAATTTGTTTGGCACAAATCTTCACTTTTTAATAATCATAAAAATGACTGCCTACAAATTTTATCAAGAGGATGGTATTAATCCTCCTGTAGACGAATATGGAAGTGGGCCTGTCAATATGGAGGTAGATGAGGTGAACTATCCATTAGGGGACATTACAAACTACAGTATCTGCGCTGATAAAAAGCCTGCTGAAAAAGAAAAAGTTACTCGCGACGTTGAGATGAAGAATGCCAAAAACAAGGACACATCTACTCGAGCCCATAATGTTTATACCGATCAAGATAAGGCCAGGTTCTCCAACTTCATATATAAGGGCTCCTCCTTGACCAGGAAAAAGGCCGATGATCAGATGAATTTGGAGTATCTGAAGAAAGTATTGCTCAAGTTTGCTTTCCCTCATCCTCTCATCAAATGCATTTCCAAGCTCATGGGTGATAATGTCATACGAACCAACATCAATGGGCATTTGTCTAACGAAGTGGCTAAATTGCGTGACCTAAAGCAGGGCTATTCTCTCTTCCCTGTTCTCTACAACTAGGCGTTTGAACCCTTCCTGCTCACCATTCTCCAGTTCGTCAATTTCAAGGCTATATGATGGGTACTGAACGCACAAAGCTCCTGTGTTATGCGGATGATGCTCTGGTTTTCGCCCCATGATGCCAATGATCTGAATCGTCTACAGCTACATATGACTCAATACTGAGCGGCCTCAAATGCCAAATCCAACAACTCCAAGGTGCAGGCCTTCTCTGTATCAGGTCGGGATACTTGGGACAAGTGGGAAAGGTCACTCTCTCAAATGGACATCACTCATCTCCACTCTGTTGAAGATGATAAACCACTGACCTACCTGGGATTTCCTCTTGTGCAAAGCCATATCCAACGTATTCATTTCATGGGTACATTGGTGACCAAGATCAAGACTGCCATTCAGATTCATTCTGGCCGCACATTGTCTGTTGTTGGTAAAACTACGGTGTTGAACACTCTTTTACTCTCAAAATTGTGGTACATCTTGCGGATGACGTCTCTGACCCAAACTGACTTCAAGCAGTTGAGCTCTCTGGCCTTTCAATTCCTGTGTAGAAATATCTTTCCGGCTATTCCTTGGAAAGTTTGGACTCTACCAAAGGAGAAAGGGGTCTCGGTGTCGTAGACATCCAGATATAAGCTTCGGCTTTATATCTTTGCTGGCTTCACCCACTACTGATCCATGACCAACCTGTCATTGACTCCCATCCTATGTCTTACCTGCTAAGCTTCCACGTCCGAAATATCAATGGTTACAGCTATCACCAAATCCCGTTGTTATTTCCCTCTGCTCATCGTACTAAGGGTTGTAAAAACAACGCACGGGAACTGCCGATATGCTATATCGTGCAGTTGACTATCTACCCAAGTCGTTTGCAGATGCTTGTCTCAATACTGCCACTGTCATGGTCCTTCCATTACAGGCTGCCTGTTACGTTCCGCCCTCCCCTACTTTTGTTGTCCCTCTCAAAGTTAAAGAGATGATGGTTTCTGATGTATTTCAGTACGATGCTTGGCTTAACTTTGTACACTGGAAAGATACTCGTGACCTTTTCCTCCTCATGGAAGCGAGCCCCTTCCACAGTGTTCCAAGGACTTGCATCAGGTACGCTGAAATCCCAGCCTTGCTTTGTACCAACTTGTAGCCCAACCCCACACATAGATTCTGGAGTCTCCTTTGCGCCTCTGGTCAATCAGCTTCGTCTTCACGATGGTCAATCGCTTGGCTTGGGCCAAAAACATTTCGGCTGTCCGTTATTTCGTCGTTTGAGCAACCGTTGGCATTACGAAATGCTGCTGCTGCCCATTGGATATTCTTTTGGTCCCTATCACTTACTTATATTCAACGTAATGTGATATACCGGTTTATCACAGGATGCATTCCTCATCGCAACCGTTTACACTATATGATGTCTTCTGTCTTTGAGACCCACAATTGTCCTGTTTGCTTGGTTCCTCATGAGTCAGCCAGCCATCTGCTCTTTGATTGTCCCTCCAAAGAAAAAATTTGGCAAGGAGTCATATTCGAGTTCCTCTGGCTAACAACTTCAATCCTTGATATCAAAGAGGCTCTTCTGTCCCTGGATTTCTCCAACCTCTGGTGCTGGCAAGTTAAAGGCATACATCCATACAGAATCCTTTTCATCACTCTCTCTCTCACATTTGGCTTGCACACATGCGCTTTGTCTCTGACAAGGTAGTCGTTGTACCCGAGGCAGTCTTGATAAACATTTGCTCCACTGTACATCAAATTGTGGATGAGGATCGAATCCACTCCCTCTTGTAATTATCAGTCAGTATAGTATATAGATTGTTTAGAAACTAACATTGTCTGAATTTGAAATGTAAAAACTGTATTCAATGCATATAAAAAGGTACACTCAATCACCTGAAAATGCGTACGCCTTTCTCTCCCTCTTCTTGATCTATAACAACAAAAAATGACCCAAGAAACATCTGAAAGAAAACTTCACTTTGACACTCTGCAATTGCATGCTGGCCAATCCCCTGATCCTACAACCAATGCTCGCGCCGTCCCCATCTACGCTACTTCCTCCTATGTATTCAATGACACAGATCATGGTGCTGATTTATTTGCCCTTCGCGCAAGTGGCAACATCTATTCCAGGTATGTACAATCCAATCATGACGTGAAATGCCTGCTGGTAGTAACAATTTCAGAATCATGAACCCTACCAACGACGTATTCGAGCAACGCATTGCTGCTCTGGAAGGTGCTGCTGCTGCTACTGCTGTCTCCTCTGGTAAGTTTCTTTTTTTTTTTTTTACGTGGTAAAGTAGCTGGCTGCACCGGGAACTGATAATGCGAAAATGATATAGGCCAAGCTGCCCAATTCCTCACCATTGCTACTCTTTGCCAAGCTGGTGATAATATTGTTTCAAGCTCCAACATTTACGGCGGCACCTACAATCAGTTCAAGGTCTTGTTTCCCAAGCTGGGCATCGACACTCATTTCGTTCAATCAAACAACCCTGAGGACTTTCGTAAAGCCATTGATGAAAAGACAAAATTAGTCTACATTGAGAGTATTGGTAACCCTGGATTCAACGTGCCTGATTTCAAAGCTTTATCTGATGTGGCTCATGAGGCTGGCATTCCGCTCATTGTAGACAAGTTAGTAGTGGAAGAAGACAAAGATTAAGGGCAAAGCATCTCATCGAGTGTATATTTTATTACTAGTACCTTTGGTGCAGGCGGCTATGTCGTCAAACCCATTGAGCATGGCGCTGATATTGTGGTTCATTCTGCTACCAAATGGATCGGAGGGTAAGTCATTGCTTGTGCTACAAATACATGGAAGGTTTGACTTTTGGTTTGTATATGTGTAATAGTCATGGTACTACCATTGGCGGCGTTGTTTTGGACGCTGGTAACTTTGACTGGAGCAATGGTAAATTTCCTGATTTTACCGAACCCTCTGCTGGTTATCACGGCCTCAAGTTCTGGGAGACATTTGGTAAGCTGGCATTTACCTTCCGTCTCAAGACTGAGTCATTGCGTGATATCGGTGCTTGCCAAAATCCATTTGGTTCCTTCTTGTTACTTCAAGGTTTGTGTTATTTATTATGTAAGGTGTTAGCGCCGTCGTGTCTAATTCACATGTCAAATACATAGGCCTTGAAACTTTATCTCTCAGAGTTCAGCGCCATCTGGATAACACACTTGCTTTGGCTCAATGGCTCGATGCCAGAGAGGATGTATCGTGGGTCTCATATCCTGGTTTGAAGCATCATCCTTCTCATGAAAACGCAAAGAAATACTTGCATGGTTTCGGTGGTGTTTTGGCTTTTGGTGTCAAGGGCAATGCCAAGGTACGTATCATTCTTTAACATCTTGATGCACTTCATTCACTTCTGCCTCGTACAACAGACATTCATTGAATCCGTCAAACTTGCCTCTCATTTAGCCAATGTTGGTGATGCAAAAACTTTGGTCATTGTGCCTGCATTGACCACCCATCAACAATTGAGCGACCAAGAGCAAGCAGCAGCAGGTGTTACCAAAGACATGATCCGTGTCTCTGTTGGTATCGAGTAAGTTGATATACTATCCAGGATTGAAGCTATTTTGCTAACATCTGCATCATATCTCAGGCACATTGATGATATTAAATGGGACTTTGATCAAGCTCTCAAGCAAGCATTATCGTAATAGCAATCAAATCATTACGTTTGCTTGATGGCAAGGCCTAAATTTATTAAATCATTCAATAAGATCATACCATTTTAATAGTAAACAAGACTCTTTCATTTCAAATTATGCACATCAGATTGGGACTAGGGGTGCCGCCTGATTGAAATGCCGCTATGCTTCATTTCATGCTTATCGTGTTCACAAAGTCTATTTGATTTTTGAGTCACAAGGTTGATCGATGATAAAAGTGGGTTCAAAGGCTGAAGAACATTTTCCTCCCGTGTTTTTCGTACCAAAATGGAACTGAAAAGAAGGAGTAAGCGTATTGAAGCTACCGTCAAATTGGAGAAGGCATCTGGTAAAGTCAAAACTAGCATCGGGATCAAGCAAACCACAGCAACCACCACGGAAGAAACGGGCGGATCAATTGGCTTTGATTCTAATGGAATTAGAAGAGAAGAAGCAACAATAGTTAAAGAGGTGTTCAGTGGACGTTTAGGTAATTTGGCACAGTTCAAAGGATAGCGAATAAGCTGACTTGTTGAGCCATTGAATGTAGGATTTGGAGACAACCTGTTTCGTTATCAATGCTCTGTTTGCAACAACAAAACGGCCAGCCTAAGATCACTTTTAAGCCATCGTCAATCCGTTCATAGCATCACTCAACAGCCCATAAAAAACATCGACCTGGAGCCTGATACTGATGATCCCAACCATTACTGCAAAGCCTGTGAAAAGTTTTACTGCAGTAATGCCAGCTACCAAAGACATTTGTCTGGCGTACATCAAATTAATTGTAAAAAAAGCTCAAGCTCAAAAAGAGGCCAAACCCGATATCAATGATCCCAGCTTCTACTGTAGTTCTTGTGAAAAAACACTATCATGCAAGGCCGCTTTCAAAAAACACTTGTTCTTGATACATTATGTGCATCAGCCCACAACGGAAAAGAGTGAATCGCAGCCAGACATTAATGATCACAATAACTGCGGTTGTGTTTGCCAGCGTTACTATTTTAGTAATGGGAGAAACCGTAAACATCTGCGTAAAGTACATCAAAAGTTATTGGAACCTAGCAAATATCGCGAAAACCATATCCCAGCGCTTCCTAATCCCAATGATTTGAATTTCTATGGTAGCGTGTGCAAGAAAACCACGACAAGACAGCCAATAATCTATCGTAGACACTACAAAAATACTAACCGTATGGCATTGATTGATCGAAAGGTCTCAAACCCTAATGCGACCATCGATATCAGGAGCCCCATTCGCTATTAGGCACAATGCGAACGCGCTTATCGCAGCAAATTTGCATTTACACCTCATTTGAAAACTGTTCATAGTATTATCACTTGAATCAGTTATCAGCGAATGGCAAGTTTCAATATTTTATCGAATTTTATGAAATTGAACATCTTAATTCCCATGCCGAGTTATAGTTACAAGTTATGTTATTGCCGCTAATAATGTTCATTTGATTAAATTAGTACTGTTAATGACAAAATCAATAAATCGCTCAATATCGTTCTAGTTAATCAAGGGCCTTGCCATTTGAAGTTTAATGCAAAGCTACAATGCGTCTTTTAGCATTGCTATTGCCTAAAAAATCTTCATTGATAATGTATGCCATTATTGTACATGTTCCTCTACATATAGATACAATACAAACACGACTTTTATATAAGCTCAGGACCACTATTTTAATAAAAAATCAAGGCCATATGAAGACAACAGCACCGTGACGATAACATCTTTCTTAGCCATATGATAGAGTAAATTAGCATATTCAATGGTTCCATCATTATAGAAGTTGGCATGCCAACCTCAAAAAACAGACATCTTATGACTGGCTAAAGATTTCTTAGCAGCAAACCTAATTAAAATTGGTCGACAGAATTGCCTCTCACTATAATCACAGACCTTTTTATAGAAGCTGTTGTTGCAAACTCGTCAAGTGCAGAGGGACTTGTAAAGACTCTTTGAACAAGATTCATTAAAAGCGGCTGACTTTGGTGTAAAAACTTTGAAGTACACTAATGGAATATACATGATTGACAACAGCTGCATTCTAGGGTCTTTGATGATTGAGTATCTGATGATGATAGTTGGACATGAGATATAATAAGTATAATGAATGAAAGTATGTCATAAAAATGCATATTCTTTGGGACTGAGAAATACGATAAGAAAGGAACGGAAGAAATATACATTCACCAAGTTCTATTTGATCTGTCTAATTAAAGTATTGTTTTATGAACCAAGCTGCTATACTATTTTGCTCCATTCGCTATTTCAACTCCTGAGCCAATTAGATCGCTTGAAAACTCCGCTGACCTAAAAAAAAATTTGCGAGGGTTTCCCCCTGTTTTGATGTGAGGCAAAATTTTAAACTCCGCTATATATAGCAATATAGCTGTTACTATCATCAAATTTCCCTCAGGTGCTAGAGCATGCCTTACTTACACCACCTAGCTTTAGATTCTGGCGTTGAGACTCTCAATCATCACCAAAGTAAGTAGTGATAACCAAGTGGAGGCAGCCTATCCATCTCCTAGTCTCGGATAAAGTCTTGTTGAGCTTCAGCGATAGGCACATCCACCACAACGTAATAAAGAGGTATGCTTCAGAGAAACATAATAAAAGAAAAAAGGAAAAGAAAAGAACATGCTACTATAGGGGTATAGCAGTATGTAGGTAAAAAAGGGATACTCACATGCAATGAGTCAAAGAAAAGCATAACAAACACAACACCAAAGAATGTTCAGAACAGCTTGTTGTTGTTGCAACAGAAATGCATACATGAGCAACGTGCAAGATAATAGTCGGATGTAAAGCAACACGAAGACGCACAATTGCAGAAGCAACAGCAGTATTATAAGTGTGCAATACAACATAATGACTAATGTTGTTTCATGTGAAGCGACAGAGGCAACACAAACAACAATCCACGGCCATATGACAAAGTAGTATTACAAAGGCAATACAGGTATATAGCAGTACATCATGCTTGTTGTTCGTACATACGAAGCAACAACATTGCAAGCATTCATTGAACTGATCATATCACAGCCAACAAAAGAAAAAGAAAGCGCAACAAAGAAAACCTCATGAATGCATTATCATGAGAAAGGAAACAATAATAAAAGCGTCCAGAGAAGCTTTACATCATTGCGACCAGAAGAAAAAAGATACTTACCACTTACCACAGCGACAAATATACCTGAGAATAGGCAATCACCAGGAATACACCAGAGATACACCAGAGAACGAGCAAACACCACAGATAGTGCACCAGAATAGACTAGAAGACTAGCAGCAGCAACACTAGAAGCAACACCAGAAGCAACACCAGCAGCGTAGAAAAACTGAAGAACGAGTGACACCAGAGACCAGACAAAGATTAACGAAGCAACCACTAGACATGATAAACCAAAGAAGCAAACAGCAGAGATAGCAGAGAAGTCATGGCAGCAGCACCCACGTCAAGCAGGCAAAAAAATTGTCGAAACCTAATAAACAAATTTGATTAGTACTTGTTCTACATCTTTCTATGCTCGTTATCGAATGGTACCTATTATATTTCGCTTCAAAAAAGCAGTATAAAGTACTTTTAACAATGCAAGGTCGTGTTATCAGATGATGCAGTGTTATATTCAATCAAAAAGGTTCCAAAACCAATATGGTTTGATACTAAACGCGTTTTGCAAAAAGGATAAAAAAACGGTGGTATGGAAAAATGAGAGGGCAACCTATGCGACGTCACAGCTAGTAGTTTTGGTCTCAGTTTTCTGCCGTGGCAGCCGTAGTAACTGCTGCACTTTAATTTGAATTTGTGTAGTGGGTATATTCATGTTCAAACTTGACCTGATCTGACATCTTTTAAGCGTTTTTGCCAAATTTAACTATGAAAACTGTCGTTGTTATACCCAACTTTGTAATGCATCTTTAGAGGAATAAAGAAGCCGCATCGAATGATGCTAATTATATACAGTTTTTAGACTGAAAATAACAAGCAATTCGCAAAAATATGAAAACAGGCTTTCTGTGAATATGTCAGGATTTAGCATATACAAGTTTCATAGAAAGAACTTCGAATGTTTTATGACATCTCTACGTTCAATTTGATCTAATATGTATCATAGTAAAAGTCTTCATTTCAGGGGTGAAAAACGCAATCGTTTGTTTTTCAAGAATTTTCCCTTGCTAGCACTCATGAAAATATGAGAATTTTCATGGATTTGCAATGACCTAAAAAATTTGAGATAAAGCATCAGTAAATAAAGCGTATCAAAGGGGAACGATTTGGCCCTATTCCAAGCGTCCACAACGCATTGTAGCATGAGTTATTCGTGCTTCAAAATGGTTAGATTTGGACAGAATCTGGCCTAAAAATAAGGCGTAGTATGTTGTTCTGCCAAAGAAGTGAGTAAACTACAGCTCTGTTTAATGTCCCTCATGTTCTTCACTGTACGGAACTCCATCCCTAAGTTATCGACGCTTTTATTCTAATTCTGACGATTAGATCTTTTTGAAAAAATGCTCGAATATAGTGATTTTAAAACTTGAGCTTCAGTGATACTATGAAAATTTGAATATAACGGCTTGCTCAGATTGAACGAGATGCACGCTAGGTCAGCAGGAGGGCCCTTTTTTTATGGTCGTCTATAAGAGAGTTGCCGTATCTAGCCCTAAAACTGAACTCAAAGTCCATCCATCCACAATATTGCACACTTATTGTTAACGAGAAATGGCTGATACCAGACACGCTGAGGCGATACCAACAAAATGTGGGGAATAATCAACAAAACCATATATCAAAATTGACCAAGCAGATATTCGTGATAACTACAAACCCTGTGATACAAGAATTGACATAAACAAGCTGTTGTAATGAAACCAGGTTTAAATGGTTTCACGGAGGTACACAGCCAGAAAAGTCAGCTCTAACCAAATTGTTCAAAATCAATCGCTCAAAATGAAGCTGACTTTTGCTACAGAAGTGGCGCATATAAATTTTCTTTTGCGCGCCAATACTAGTCAAGACGCTCCCTGGATATACTTTATACCCTTGGGCATTGCATCGACGTCTCTGTGTTATTGCCATTAGAGAAAGTCGTGTTTTTGTCATTGTAAAAAACTCCAACTTTGAGGATTATAAAACCAGTTTTTTGAAGAAAGCATCGCAATAGATGCCCAGACGAGGTCTTATCTTGTTGTAGAGCAAAAACAGACGAGTAAAATTTAATTAATAATGGGAAAGTAGCCTGGTTAAGTTGGCAGCTGTACAGATAAGAGTGTTAAAGCACTGCTGGTTTTCTCATGTTGATTAGCTTACACTTTACTCGCTTAATTGTTCGAAAAGCAATGTAGCGACGGATTATCCGTTCATGTCTTTAGCGATCCCTCAAACTACGCATATAATCGTTCTGATATGAAATCTCTAGCATTAACGTAGGGCGTGAAAAAGCTATTCCCCTCTTTTAGTAAAACATGCAGCACATCTTTAACTCTTTGCCAGACCACAACGAAGCAAGACATTACTAAGCAGATTTAGACACCACGTTTCGCAACACCTCATCCATTGATCTATTGCTCGTAAGTGCTTGTAATTAGCTGGTTGTATCTTCGAAAGATAACAAAAGTTATGCTTGAGCTGCGCTATACCCAAGGGATTTTCTCTCCGTTGTTTGAACAACGTACGACGCTCCTACCAACTAATAATATTCAAAGCTCTGCAGTACTGAAGCATAATAAATAAGAGCCTCCCTTGATTTTTTGGAGGTTTATTGGAGTACGAGCATACAGCGCTCGATGGTTTATGTTTGTTTTAGTAGTCGATAGATAATGGTATAGTAGCACTTGCTATTCTGAATAGACTTTTAATTAAATGTGTCGTAGCGTAATCATTTTTGCGATCAAGAACGTTGGTGGATTAAATTTTCGATAACCCTAAAACTCCAAGCAAAACTGTTGTCATCTATGTACATAACCACCAATTAAGATTGAAGAACGTGATGATGTCTTCAGCGGTTTAGGCAGCCAAAGATAGCATAACCCCCCCCCCCAAAAAAAAATATTATAAAAACTACGAGAATAAACGAGATAGCGTATTAGCAACCTGATATGATTCTTATTGAATCAGCTCAACATCCATGATCATTAGTAAAAAAAAACACACTGGCATCCATTAAAGATTCTTTAATACTATTGCCACCTCCATGAAAACGTGCTCATATTCCAAATTGAATGTGATTTGACCTTCATTACATCAATGTGCTATCTTCTAACAAGTAGAGTCGATTGCCTTATTAACATTATGCCGTTGTCTATTTGGCAGATCTCTCCGCTTTTAAACTGTACAAATTATGTTTTCCATTGTCGATAAAGCACATCAATGTAAACATGTCTAACGTATTTTAAAACGTGCGTGTTACCAGCATCGGCTGGTTTGGCTTTACTAGACATTTTAAACGATTATGTTTTCCTTCCTACATAGCTCCCCTTCTACCCCTTTCACAAACATTCACAGGCAGATCCAATGGATGAATGTGAAACAGTCAGGGGCAATAAGCGAAAAAGCAAGAAAAACATATGCGAGATTAGCCTGATCTGCAAGAGACGAAAGCCTGATTTCCCAATGAATAAATTGAGAGAACATCTATGTAGTATTTCGGATTATGTATATATTTGTAGATTGCAATCGTGAATTTAGCGTATACGATTCTCATATGAAGAGGCTTTCGAATAAATGATGACAGAAATGTCGTACCAACGAATGGCGTTATTGTTTGATTCTAGATCCATTCAGGCGTTTACATGGATATGTTATAGTCATCCCGATCGGTTTATACTTATCGGATCCAAGTTTGCCGATGGTAATTATACGCAAGAGCTCTTCATTCTCATCTTTTGTTGTAGTGTGACAAACAGAGTACATTACAGTTGCTCGCTGAGCTAAATCAACATTAGAAAAATATAGATTTATATACAGAGTTCTTTTTTTATAAAGCAATAGATGGGATAAATATATGGATTAAAACATATAAGGTATATGACAAGCTGTTGTAGCCTACAAACATGAATAAATAAAAAGAAGTATATAATAAAGCGCAAAAGTATGTATAAACGAAAAATAACGAAAGTGCAGTGTATATAAATGGGTTAACGATTGAATAGAATGGTAAGGGAGTGTAATGGGTATAGTTGCTTAGATTTATGACACAATGATCATTTGCTTTTGGTTGTAGTACTTTTCAAAACGAGACGTTGGATTTTTTGAATATTGGCAGTACCAGACTGGGTTCCCATCTTGATGTTGTTGTTGCTGTTGCTTGGTGTTCTTGTTGAAGAATTTGAAAATACGCTTCAGCCAAGGCTTTTTGGTATGACTGAGATGAGGTTGTGGTTGTACTGATTGTTGTTGTTGTTGTTGATGGGCGTAATTATTTTCAATCACTTCTAATGACGAAACAGAGGAAGACCCAAATGAGGAACATGATGAAGACCGACGCAAAAACCTGTGTTTACTAAGACTATTTGTCATTACCAAACTGTCCAATCGAGCAGGCAGAGATCTTCTTCCCCGATGTTGATGATGATGTGAAATTGACGAAACGCTGTAGTTACTACTGCCACGAATATTGGTATTTGTTGATTGAGGTCGTTTTGGTCGGGACATGAACGATGGCGATGGAGGAATGATGCTTGATGAGGAGTCGGCCCGAGATGTTCCTGAAGAGCTAAAATTATCATTGCAAGAGGAGGCCATTTGGTATTGAATCTGCTCGGCTGTCGGAAGAAACATGGAATCATTGTGATATGGGAATGGCAGAATACGAGGAGAAGCAAACACAATGTCGTTGTTCTTCTGCTGCTGCTGCTGTGTCGTCAATTGAGGCGGTGTGGATTGACAGCGCACTCTTTGAAGTGTCATTTCTTGACAGTAACGCTCCAGCATTTCATTGTTATTGCTTGACAAGATGAGTAGGTTTTCTTCTGTCAATGGAAGAACAGGAGGCTGATGCATTTTATAGACGATGGATATGCTAAAAGAGAAACGGTGAAATGGCGAAAAGAAAATGGCACCCTTTTTATATAGAAAATCAATTAAACTTTCTGTGTTCCCTTTTGATGTACATTACATTACATACACAGGATTAGGAGTATACAGTTATACGCAGTGATGGAATTACCTTAAAAGTAAAATGTAAGAAGTTTAAACGAAAAGGAACCGGGGAGATTGACCTGAAAACAGTAGAAAGTGCAGTACAGGAGACACTTTCAAGGAGCACTGTGAGGTGGACATTTGCACTTAACTCCCAAAAAAGAACAATTTAAAATGCTCATTATGTTTATAACAGTTACATAAACAGCACATGCAACTACTTAGTCTATAGGAGAACTGGGTAGTAAGTCCTAATAGCAATGTAAAATGATCGATTCTACATATTTTATCTCGATTCTTATATCTTATTGTCACTCCCTCTTCTCCCCTATATCATCTAGATATACAAGCTTAGCTAGTAACGACTGTTCCAGACTCTCTTTCCCTCAGTATAGATGTATATATTAATTGAACCATTAGCATCATTATCAATATCATCACCAAGCTCTGATTCATTTAATCGCAAATGTGTACCTCGAGTAATTTCTTCTCGGTTCCTCTTCAATGAGCCACCCATGATGAGTGTTTATAGCGCACCAACTTGTTTTGTACAATGAAAATGGGTCCGTGCAGTTGTCTTTGTATATAAAAAAAACCTATTATAAAAGCAAGTGTTTTTTATAGACTAACTGTGTCTGCATCGAAGGTGTTCTGGGCACTTTGAAGCCTACTTGAACACACACATTCAACGATAGGAGATGAGCCGAGAGAAGAAAAAAAGATCAAGGGGCATGTCCTACAAACAAAGAGAAAAGGAGCTCTCTCGATACACACATTTCTCTAAGCGACAATGACAACAAATAAACATCGGATCATCCGCACAAGAAGATTCCACATTTCACTGTATTCATTGGTATGCCCATTTGACACATGTAGATTGCCATGGCAACCAGCATTGATCCAATTTACGTGTACTCATTAGTAAATCAAAAAAAAAAAGAGCAAAACGTTTATTTCAGTTACATTTCCATCATGTCCTTGTCCTTCTTGCTACTACTATCAACAGGAACTGCTTTGGTAGTAGTGTCATCAGGCTTTTGCAATCGAATTGTAGTCATACGAGTCATACTGTTCTTGTCGCCATCCCATTCTCTGAGTAATTTGAGTGTTTTGCCGTTTGTCATGTCTGGTAGTTCCATGCCGGATATATATTCACTAGCCTCTCTCGCCTTGATCGACTCTAATAACTGTTGACGGGCGTTCTTTGGCTTTTTGTGTCCTCTACTTCTATCCTTTTCCAATTCGCTGATTTCATCATCATGGCGTTCAAGATAGAGTTCTATTAATTCATGCATCTCTGGCTTGGTTGCCACTGATTTATCTTCCTCAAAAGCATATCTAAACCATAACCATCTCTCGCCTAATTTCCAATTCATCAGATTGGAAATCCAAATTAAATTCTTGATCTAATTTACCTAATGGGTTATTGGCCTTATTCTTCTCCTTGACAGCCAATTTCTCTTTACGCTGGTATACTCTAGAGATTTGATGTGCCTTGCGAGAATAAGGATGGATTGCTTCTCTATTCTTGATGGTTTTTAATGTGATTTTTCTGTTTCCCTAATTAATTCATTTTAGCAATTATCCAAATCTCAAAAATCTTGAGATTACCATAATATACAATATTTCTAATGAAAGAATAAAATTCTTTCATGCTCTTTGTATCAAGCTCAAAAAAGCCACGATTTGTGTAGTAGACAGTTCACTTTTGGGGCGACAGTCACCGCATGTTGTGCTGCTCTGGAGTCCAGATGATGGATCTTTTGACTATTAGCCCTTTAGAAGTGGTGGGTTTGACCTTTTCATTATTTTTCTTTCCTCTTCTTTGTTGAAGTTTCATCACTTGACATCTCCTTCTCTTTTCACGTAGAAATGGAGACGATTCGAATTGTTACCAATGGTGTGCTGTGTACATTGGGTCTATGGGGTCATACAACGTTAACTGTCGCTGTCCAACTCCTGTCCATCTTCATTTGGCCATTCTCAAAGAAACTATACTATGCCTTTCATGCGCACATAATGCGACAATGGTCTCAAAATCTTTTCGAAATCATGAGATTGTTTGCGCCGGGAGAATTGATCATCACATTCGATGATAGCATTACCAACGACATGGACGACGATAATAACAATGAAGCATTGGAAGAGTTATTAACTCGCAATATGAAGGGCCAAGTAACCGGAATATCTTTTCCCGAAAGGCTGATAATGATATCAAATCATCAGGTAAACCTTAAGTTTCTCTTGGAAACTGGATATGGCCCTAATTCACACCATGATTTACCAGATTTATGCGGATTGGATTTATGTTTGGTTTTTGGCGTATTTGGGAAAGGCTCATGGCGCATTAAAGATCATGCTCAAGCACAGCTTAAGTCAAGTACCTATCTATGGCATGTAAGTCTATTGTGCCATTGTGGATGAGCGCGATGTACTAATTCTTGGAACATTTTTAATTTCAAATTAGGGTAAACAGTTTCTCCTTTTATTTTCGGGCTGTGTTGGTAAAGTTTCACCGAATATAGTCTTTTTCTAACGCAATTATCCTAGGGCATGAAATTCTTTGAATTCATCTTTTTGAGGAGAAAGCTGGAACATGATAAAGACAACATTATCAACAACCTTGAGATTGCCAAAAAGAGAGGTAGACCCTTGTGGTTGGTTTTATTCCCAGAGGGCACAGGTATGTATTTATAGTCATCCAACATTGGGAGAAGGTGGTCAAATTGTTTTAACCGCTTGCATATGTCAAACTTTATTAGTTATCTCGGACAACACACGCCTCAAGTCTAAAGAATTTGCAGCTAAACTTCACATGGTAATTTGCGTTTTTTCAATTCTCGATATCTGTGTAATATTGACATGCCACACAGGATGATTACAAATTTACGCTCTTACCAAGAACCACCGGATTGATGCTATGCAAGGAGACGCTGGGCGATAGTGTAGAATGGCTGTATGATCTCACAGTTGGTTACCCTGGCATTGAGCCTGGACAGAATCCCGAAGATGTCATGACCATGAAGCGCATCTTTTGTGAAGGAAATGGGCCTCATGAAATCCATATTCACATGCGTCGCTACCGTTTGGCGGACTTGCCGACAGACACTGAAAGCTTTATACATTGGTTGTTGGATAGATGGACAGAAAAAGACAAGCGACTCATCTACTTTAACGAGCACGGCAAATTCCCAGAGGAGAGTGATTTGGATAACGATCGCATCTACAATGGAAGAACTGTCAAGATCCCCATTCAGTTACAAAATACATTGAAAGAGTGCTACGGCTATTGGCTTTATCTACTCATCTACATACCTATCGTTTATGCAATGTTGCATCTCACGCGCTTTGCATACACTACTTTTGTTCAATCACTTTAAATATACATAATTACCAGAGTAGCAGCCTTTTTATAATACATTATTACATACATTATTTTTACAGCATGATGTACACACATTTAATATACTAATTTCAATCACAATAAATCTGCAGTCATTGAAATGATGCAAATGCTGACACATTGGTCCTATATTCAAGTGAGAAACGAGATGCCATCAATATAGCAGTATGTTAATCTACTGAATTGAGCTGGTATAATGTCAATTTGATCAGGTTACATATGCTGTCATTCGAAAAGGCCTTCTATTATGTACATCTACAGTAGCTTGATCTGCTAACGTTAGATCCCCAATATCAATACCGTTTATTTGGTTTCTGGAAATCATACCGAGTAAAGGTGTCAAAAAGGATTACATTGCAGTAAGATCAGTCGGATATCCTGCTGCTTTTACATAGATGCCTTTGTATCCGAAGCATGAATTATTAGTTATCTGAGCCTCTGATTATGGCCTAATTCTCCAAATGTTTCTTTTTCTGAATATTTACCATCTACACAATCTGCAGCGTATAGAAAATCAGCAGCAACGATGCATATTGGTTATATGTCTCCAACCAATCTCTTTACTCGCAGGTATTCGATTTAGGCTTTCAGAACGATGCAATATAGCAATAATTGATGAAAATGCCAATAAAGATCATGTATTATCCCCTGTCTTCCTATACATCTTCAAACTCAAGCTATCATATAACACGCTGTTGACATTTCGCAGCTAATATGTATAGAATACGAGCCTTTAGACACTTCAGGTGGTTCCTTGACCTACGCTTCGCTTCGGTGGAAGCCAACCTACGTTCAAACGGCTTGCGCTGCCGCGGGCCTTTGGCTAATATCACAAAAATTAATATAGCTAAAATGTTAGAAGCACCTTGATTGTTGATTGATATAAAATCACTTATGATATGAGTGTTTATGCTTTGGATGGTTCTTTACTTTTGCTTCGCTTCGGTGAGAACCGACCTGCGCAGCGGAGCAACCCGCTCTACTGACTGTCCTTGCGAATCTTATCAGAATAATGCTACTTTCGTTTTGACCTTCCACTTATACATGAAAAGCTTACATATTACCTGTGTATCTGACTTTTATGTGATGCTCTACATCCATATACACGTAGCTGCTTCACACACGGGCAAACAGCATACTGGTATTTCCTCTTTTCAGTCCATGGTCTCCCTCATACAGCAAAATCTGAGCGCATTTGAGCCGCGTTTTCTCGCGTTCAAAGCCGTTTTAGATTGTCAGAATAGCACCAAATAGTTGCTCTCATCTAAGAATTACTTTCTGACACCTTTGCTCAACTTTTTGGGGACCAAAAAAACATGGCCAAAAATTGACCAAAAATTGACCAAAAAGCATGAGGTACCCCTCATGGTTTTCATCGAAAATCAAACGATCGCAATTTTTACCTTGATAATGAAAACTTTTACTATGGTATATATTGAATCAAAATGTTTCTATCATTCCAATGCAACCCCTAAAATCATCTCTGTGGGACCTTGATAGGTAAAATTTCGACATTTTGGGCAGAAATCACTTTTCATATTTTCGTAGATTATTCAATAAGTTTATTCAAAACATCTATCTTACATGGCACCATTGGATGCGCCTTGAAAAGCGCTCCAAGAAAGCTTAAAGATGCATAGGATGATTATCATATTTTACTTAGTCGAATCTGCAAAAATAATTTGATTGAGTCGAAAGCCATCAAGATTTGGCCAATCTGGAACATATTTTGAATCTGAGGTTGAATTAGTTTTGGCTGGTGGAGCTGGCAGGCAAACTCAATGCCCTTTTCATAAGACAATACAGTAATAAGGCCCTTGAAGCGTGCGTATGGAAAGTAGGTGGCAAACCATAGCACTATCGCTCATCATGCTATTTTCTTGCATTCTATACTTAATAACGTTAGTCTGGACATTGATAATTCATGGGCTGCATAACATGTCTGCAGTAAATAGGGAAATCTCTGAGGCTTTGGGTCGTCGTTCAAAGGAAACATTGACAGCATTGAGCAGAGAAAAGAGGGTAGAAATAACAGTGGTTTTTGTTGATTGATTGTGAAATCATTAATCTCATATGAGCCAGGCCTGACAGATGCCTAGAGACTCAGTTTCCATATTAGGGTTGTAAAAATGTCTAAGGACTAAACGTTTATTATAATATGATGTCTACACTTATGGAACCAGTAGCTTCCGATGTCGCTGGGTATAATACTGTGTAATTTATGGTGCACATAGCGATACCCTTTAGGAAACAGATAGTTTTTTTTTTTGTTGCACATATCTCACTCAACATTTTCAACCATTCCACATACTTATTTAAGCTATATATACATATACTAAAATGTCATTGACCTGGTTAAATCAAAGCATTGACGACCCTAACCTTGTTCAATCTGTTCAAGACTTGATCAAAGCCTATCCCGCCAGCTCCAGGGTCATTGAACGTCTAGTGCAATACTACGACAGTAAAGCCCCATCAGACAGAGATACTAAAAGACGCAAATTGGATGAAAAGAATGCCCTCTCCAGCGATGAAATTCTGCGCATCATGGATGTATCATTTCAGCTACCAGCCAGAAAGAAATTGGATTTAATCATCACTCGCACGCGTTTAATACTGTTCAATCCCAAGCAAAATGCCATTGAAGTGCAATACAATTTGGACGATCTTTCACAGCTTGGTGGCGCATGCGTCCCCAGTCCAGACAAGGCGGTAAAGAGCTACACTTACACTATCTTTTTGAAAACAGAAGATGTGATTGTATTCAACACGCAGGATAAAGTCAATGTAACACTCAAAAAGCCAGATACAGAAGATCAGATTCTAGAGACCAACAAGCATGAAGTGATTTCTCAACTGATTACAGAACACGCACGCGTTCCCATCACACAGCCATCCAAAGAGTACTTTAGGTCCACAGGCGTCTCAACCACTACAGGCAAATTGGAGGATCGGTCTCATGTTATCGGATACCTGAAAGCCAAAGATGGATTTCTCTTCTTTCTGCCCACTGGTATCTTGTTTGGCTTCAAGAAGCCCACACTCTTCTTTCCTATTTCCAGCTTGGCTTCCACAGTGATTACCAACATTACACAGCGCACATTTGACCTGACATTGACCCTAAGACCAGAATCCAAGATATTGGGATCCGCTGGCTTCCGCACAACAAAAGAAGGCGACAATGATACTGTGCAGTTCTCAATGATTGAGCAATCCGAATATGGTGGTATTGAAGCATACACTAAGAAGCTCAACATCAACGATCACAGCATGGCAGAAGAGAGAAAGGCTGTTAGTAAGGGTGGCGAGCACAATGAATCAACAGGCGAGCACCATGATATGGACGATGGACAAGACACATCAGAGAACGATGAGGATTTTGAGCCTAGCGATGACGAGAATGAGCCCTTAGAATTTGACACGGATGCATCTGCTGACGAGGATGACGATGAGGACGATGAGGACGATGAAGCACAAGCCGACAAAGAACTTGCTCAAGAGGAAGAGCATGAATTTGAAGATGCTGTCATGTCTGAAAACGAAGATCAAGAAGAAGAGCTGTTGGATGAAAGCGATTAAGTAATCAAGAACCCCTTATATAGAAAACTTTAACTAATTTTGCATTGTGAATATTCGCTGTTCCATCAATGCGCATGAATATACGTCTCTAAACCAGTATAAAATAAACACACATCATCGTAGTTTTCGTCTTTTTACCTTCAACAACGCATACAACATGCTTGCAACTGCCACAGCTAATACCGACATTACAACGCCTGTGCCTCAGGGCGGCGCTTCCCTAATGATTGCATTTCGTTGCCATAGAAAGAATGTGCTAGTCGTTGGCCATGATGAAATCGCAGCTAGTCGTGTTTTATCTGTCTTGGAGGCTGATGCTCAAGTGACAGTAGTGGGCCCTCTCGATCGCATGTGCAGGGAGTTGACATACAGAATCCAAAACAACCAAGTCGAATGGGCAGGAGAGGTGTTTGAAGAAGAGCAGCTCATCGGTAATCACCTTGTCTTTGTGTCTCGCTCTGATGATATCGGTTTGTGCCAATACATCTCACACGCATGCTGTGCTCGTCGTATCCCTATCAATGTTGCCAACCAAAAGGAATTGTCTGATTTCGACATGACGTGTTCCTATAGAGATCAGTCGCTGCAAGTTGCTGTTTCCACCAACGGTATGTCCTCTGTCAATCTAGCGAACCGCATCCTCCAAAGCAAGATTTCATCCACATTAGAGCCCTCGCTGGGTGAAGCAGTCAAGAACGCAGGTCTCTTGCGCAAAGGAGCCGAGGCATTGGATCCTGGATCCAGCTCAAGTCTGCGTCGATACCAATGGCTTACTCACATTTGCGACACCAAATCATTAGAGGAAATGTCAGCATTGACTGCAACTGACATTAGTGAACTGCTTGTTTCCTATTCAAAACAGATAGAAGATGGCATCCACCATCTTTAAGCGAATTCACGGTGGTCTAAATTCCCGAATGACGTCGAACTAGGCTGTCTGTTCCCTTTCAACATTTTGATACTTTTTTTTTTTTTTTTTTTTTTTCATTTCACAGTTTTTCTTTCGTCTCAACTACTAAAAAAAAACCATCCTTTACAACAACAACTTAAAAAAAGAGAATAAAATCAAGGAAAAAAAACAGTTCCTCTTCATCTGTAAAGACTTATTCTCTCTCTCCCCCTTCTTCTCTTCATGTCAAAATTAGAGGATAACACAAAGCGTCGTTCCAACGAAGTGGAAGAACAAAGTGTTACTCCAAGACCTCCCAAGAAGCGTTTTTTATCCAGAGCATCTTCGTCCGACGACGATGCTGACGATAATGAGGATGCTAGCGATACGTTCAAGGTAAGATCTCCCGTCTGCACTGCATTGTCAATGTAAGTGCCTAACTTGCTACTGAATCAAGGAACCTTTGGAAGCATTTCGTAAAGATGCCATTTCGAGACAATGGAAAGATTATATAGTAAGTATGAATGCTGCTTTGTCAGCAAGAATACTCAACACATTGCCTGCTTTAGAGAGCTGTTGAAAGACTCAAAACGTACATTGATCAAGCCGAGACAAAGAAAGTCGAGAGTCAAGAGCATCTCAAGCTCTGGGAAGACTCCTTTCAGAAAGTATGCAATGAGCCATGTAGACATCAACGTGATTGATCATTCATCTTGTTTTCGTCTAGCTCCAAACGTTTCTCTGCAACATTATTCAGGAAGGCTTGTCAAGTCTAGGACACTCCACTAATGCAATGGGTAAGAAACCGACACACGCACGCTTGATATAAAAATGTTGACATGTTGCACCCTTTAGACATTGATCAAGTTTCGACTAAAGAGCTCTTGCAAGAAAACTGGGCCAAAGAACATGCACCCAACTTGCTGAAGGCCTTCAACAACAAAGATTACCACGAATTGACCGTTTCCAAGCTGAACCAGCTCATTGAATCATGGATTTCCAAAAGAGACGGTATCACCACAGGCTTCCAGTCTGTTTTTGGTAAGTTGATAATTATCAGATTCAATGCTCCATGTACTTACATTTGACAAAGAAGAAGGCTCATTAAAGGAAATTCAAAAAGACCATGAGCGTATTCTATCAGCCTGGGTCAAAGGACAGCGATCATTGCAAGACATGAAGAATCGGTTCAAAATGACCAATTTTAAAGTATGCAGCTTAGTCAATTTTTGAAGCATCGTGTTAATTAACTCTTTTATTGCTAGTACTTGGTACTCTCAGAGGAATTACGAATCCTGAACGATCAATTGGAATTGACAGAGACTAACTTGCGTGGAGCCCAAGCAGAACTAGAAAAGATCCAGACACAATCAGCTGTCAAAATTGAGGATACAGCAATGACAGAAGCGACAAGCTCTATCTCGAATCCCACTCACTCAGAATCATCCAATGCAACTACTGCCGTTGCGAGTACGAGTGCTGGTGCTGGTGCAGACGCTACATCAAGTAGTGCTGCTTCTGCATTGGCCGCAACACCAGCATCATCAATTAACACTACTCTCGATGGCGCACCTGTTGCGGTGAATGTAAATATGTCCAGATTCAATGCTGATGTCGATTAACTGATCACACGTTTTTCATAGAGCCAAGGTGTCGCTCAAGATCCATTGATTCATGCGCAGCAGCTGTTGGAGCAAAGATTACGAGACATCAATATGATCAAGGAAGACCGCATTGGTTTGAAACAACAAATTGCACGTTTGGAAATGGATCTCATTTGCGTGCCAGAGTCTCGTATTTACAAAGCCCCCATCTGTCGACAATTATCTCAATCTCGCGCCTACAACAAGGACAAATGCAATCGCTTGTCTGACATTTGTCACGACCTTCAAAATGCGCTGGAAGACTTACAAGCCAACCGACGCCGTCTCATCAAGGAATTGGATTCTGAGCAAGCCAATCACTCTCAAAAGCTGCAAGAGGAATTACGAAAATTGGATGAGGATTTAACTCGTATTCGTGGGCAACGTGATGCATTGCAAATGACTTTAGAGGAACGTAAGGCTGCTACAGAAGCTGGACGTGCCTCTATTGCTGAACTCAAAGTGATTGCCGATACAAGAAAGGAGCGGGTCAACTATTTGGAGACCGAAGTACTTCGATTGCAAAAGAAAATGGCTGCTAGAACAGGTGTGAAGGAATACTATGATTTGCTGATGAACAGTGATGGTCGTGAACCTTTGTTATTACCGTTGCAAAACGAGCTCAAGGCATTAGAGGAGCAAGTCCAAGCAGCAAAAGATGTGTGTATCAACCAAGCCAAAATCCCGCAAGACACTGTGGAATCCGAACTAGCTCAAATCTCGAAACTGAAACAATTAGAATTAGATGTTGCCAAGTTTGAGGAAAAGTACGGTTTTCATCCCTCTGCTGATGTGGATGATGGGCAAATTCAACAAGTTCTGCAGGACAGAATTGATACAGAGAAAGCAATGATTGCAAAATCAGCACTGAAGATTTCGAATTTGGAAGCAGTAAGTTGGGCTGTGTAATGGATGACAGCTGTGTAAGTTTTTGTCTGATTTGTGTATCCTTTCAATAGACTGAAAAGCAGCTACTGGGTGAAATTGAAAATGTAGCCAAAGCATATGGCGAATTGGAAGAAGAAAATATGACAAGAGTGAAAGCACTTGCGGCTGCAGAAGATGAGATTATCAAATTACAAACGGAACGAGTCAAATACAGTCAAACTTTCACTGCACTCAACAAGTCAAAAGATGCTCATTCTATGGTGGCCAATGCCCTCAACAAACAGAACGAGAAGCAGCTTGCTCACATCAAACAATTAAATGAGCGTGAAAAGAATCTTAACAATCAGTTGGTAATACCTTATGATGATCAGGAAATGCTTGATTTGTTTGACTCATGTATCATATTTTGATAGACTTGCTTGGAGCGTGAACTCAATGCCAGTAACAATGTGTTCGATGTCTATAAAACAAAGATTGATGAGGCCAAGGTGACACTAGACGAGCTGAAAGAAAAGACATCGTTTTCCAAGAGCAAAATATCAGAGGTAAAGATGAAAGTGTATGCAACATGGCATGATTCACTGATGTATACGTTGTCTAGTTGCAAAAATCGATTCTGGATAAAGTACGCTTGATTGAGGAGGGTGTATATTCACGACTTCGCTTAGAGGAAAGCTGCGAATTACTAAAACGCAAGGTTGACTCGACAAATAAGGTAGAAAGACCTGCTGAAATGAAATTAAGAAAAGAAAGAGAAGAATATAGAGTAAGCTTTGGAATTTGGTTGATGATTAGTCTGACTGACATGTCTCTTTTTTTCAGTCTTTGCTAAATTGCAGTTCATGTGGAGTTCAATTGAAATCTCACATCATCTTGAAATGCATGCATACCTTTTGCAAGGAATGCCTCGAATCCACCAAAAGATGTCCTAGCTGTGATGAACCTTTCAATCATCACGATGTAAAGCAATTTTACTTTTAATTCAATTTCATCATATACATTATCTCTCACAACATGTCCAAAAGAACCCCAAGACCTAGATTCAGTCTAGGTACACCTTCAGCCCCTTCGTTTTCCCTCCAAGCTTATTAGAAAATTACGCCCCACCATAAAGAACACGCCCATCTTTCGTTATTTACGCCATACTTCATCATCTCTCCCACCTCTCTAGCTATAAGATAAAATCCTAATGTACATATATTAACCACTATTACTTTAATTTTTTTTTTCTTTTTTTTTTTGTAATAAATCAATATCATCAAGTTTGAAAGGCAATAACAATAAAACTTTACTTTCCTGACTTCATTGGATCTCTGGCTTCATTGGGTTTCTGGCTTCTATGCTAATAAATTTTGACCATACAGTTTTCTTACTTGGCGCACAATTGCTGTAGCCAGCATGCGAAAATGTTGTATATGTTGTGTCTAAAAGACTCATCATAAGCTAGGCATAATGAGGATTTCTTTTAGAAAGTGATCTTTAGTGGGAAGAGCCCGGAAAGGGGTATAAATAGTGTCATCTTGATTGCCTTGGCAGTACCTGGAGCCTTCGCCTCGACTTCTGGTGTTTCGTACATATCGTGGTTTGCTTTGATAAGTTAGGTATCGTCCTCAGAACTCGATGAACTTTTGATAAAATCTAAACGCCATTAAACAGAGAGGTCCTGTGAAATGTTGTTAATGTGCATAAGGCACATGTAATGTGATGAACCACGAAATGATTGACAAGTTTATTTATGGCATGACAAAACATGTTTGCTTCAGTGATTTCACTAGCTCTTGTTGCAAATGGTTGGAAGCATGCTGATATCAATCACTTTTTCAATCTTGATAGACTGTTGTTGGCAATTAGCGGTATGCTGGACTTCAGTATAGAATGAATCAAGCTTCGCTACACACTTTACACCCACCAAGTACTAGCAACTTAAATGTTGCCGCCGTTCAGAATTCACAAATGCTCTACATTTGAAAAATTATCAATACCCGAGTACGGATCTAAAGTTTGGTGAGATACGATAATGAAGAGAAAAATTATTACTGTAGCACTGTTATTGCCAATATTGGTAAAATCATAACATAATGTTGTGAGCGGTGATGTCCGCATCGAGACTACATCTGGGAGGTTAGCAAAATCAGTAAGCAAGCAAGTAAACAAAGCAGTTATATATAAATATCACTCGTATGCCATATCAATAAACACAGTTCGAGAAAATCCTCTTTTTAGTTTTGTTCTTCTGTGTAGTCTTTATTTTGTACACTAGAGAAGTAGTATTGATCGTAATAGCTACTTGACGTGTCCAAATTCTTTATAGTTGAATAAGCGTAATCTTTACTAAAAGCACAGGTAATTTACATCCTGTTACCGCACCCTCTCAACAATAATAAATGTTCAGTCCTTAGGCACTTTACAACCCTAATAGGAACCTGAGTTTCGAGGCATCTGCCTGGCCTGGCTCATATGAGAATAATGATTTTACAATCAATCAACAAAAACCACCGTTAGTTCTACCCTCTTTCCTCTGCTCAATGCTGTCAACGTTTTATTTGAACGACATCTCGGAACCCCAGAGATTTCATTACTTACTGCAGACATCTTACGCAGCCCATGAATCGTCAATGTCCAGACTAACGTTATTAAATATAGAATGCAAGACGATGTCATTATGAACGATATAGAATGCAATAAAGTATTATTATTAACGATAGCTTTATGGCCTGCCACCTACTTTTTATACGCTTCAAGAGCATTTACTACTGTAATGCAGTATGAAAAGGGCATTGAGTTTGTCAGCTGGCCCCACAAGCCAAAATTAATTCAAGCCCAGAATCATAGTCTGTTCTAGATTGGACAAATCTTGATAATTTTGGACTTGATTGAGCTATTTTTGCAGATTCAACTAAGTAGAATATAATGATCATCCTGTATTTTCTTAAGCTTTCTTGGAGTATTTTTCAAGGCGCATCCAATGGTACTAAGTAAAATAGAAGATTTGAATAAACTTATCAAATGATTTATGAAAATAAGAAAAGAGGTTTCTGGCCAAAATGTCGAAATTTTACATATCAAAGTCCCACAAAGATGATTTCAGAGGTTGCTTTGGATCGATAGAAACATTTTGATTCAATATATACCATAGTAAAAGTCTCCATTTTCAAGGTGAGAAACGCGATCGTTTGATTTTCGATGAAAACTTTTTTTTTTTTTGGATGATATTTGATTTATTAGAAATAAATTAAACGCATCAAGGGATGGACAAGTGTATGTAAACAAAGTGACGTGCCATATATAAGCTATTTAGAGTTTCCTAAGATTTGACAATCTTATCAATTCGGCGCGGATTTGGCGGCATACTACAGAGGGATCAAAAGGTATATAATTGTAGAGCTGTTGGAAGTGATTTCTCCAAATCATACGCATAATAGTGGCGAAGAAGTCATATATAGTGAACTGCATATCGTAGCTGTATATGAGATAGCGGTCTAGTTTGAGGAGCATAATGTTGTTGTAGACGAGGCGAGGGTCAGCATTTTTGGGATAGCTGAGGAACTCATTGAAGGTGGAGTTCCATACATCGATCTTGTGAGCACAGCTAATTAGAAGATGTTTGGCATCTTCTACTTCGTTGCATAGATCGCAGTGATCAGACTCTAAATTGGGCAAGTGTCTTTGGAAGAGGGCGAGCTTATTAGGGGATTGCTGATGGAGCATCCGGTACCACAGATTACGAGCCGAGTAGTGCATGTCGTTTTTATAGAAGGCTGTCCATTGCTTTTTGGAGATGTTGTTGTTGAAGTGGCGGCCAACGTCTAATGTGTCCAATGACTGCATGATGAAACGAACGTTTTTGTTTGAGAGCTGAAGGATCGATAGTTGGATTTTCGATGAAAACCATGAGGGGTACCTCATGCTTTTTGGTCAATTTTTGGTCAATTTTTGGCCATGTTTTTTTGGTCCCCAAAAAGTTGAGCAAAGGTGTCAGAAAGTAATTCTTAGATGAGAGCAACTATTTGGTGCTATTCTGACAATCTAAAACGGCTTTGAACACGAGAAAAAAACAGCTCAAATACACTCATATTTTGCTGTATTAGGGGCACTGAGGACTAAGAAATGGAAATACCTGTATTCTACTTGCCCGTATATGATATAGCTAGGTGTATATGGATGTAAAGCATTACATAAGAATCAGATCCACGCATAATATGAAGGGTTTTCATATGCAAGTAGAGGGTCAGCTTGAACGTAGTAGTATTATGATAAGATACGCAAGGGCAACCGGTAGCTCGAGCTGTCGCTGTGCAGGTTGATTCTCACCGAAACGAAGCGAAGGTAGAGAACAATCTGAAGCATAAACACTCATATGATTAGTGATTATATATCAGTCAACAATCAGGGTTCTTCTTCTAACATTTTAGCTATATTAATTTTGAGATATTAGCCAAAGGCCCGCAGCAGCGCGAGCCGTTTGAACGTAGGTTGGTTTCCACCGAAGCGAAGCGCAAGTCAGGAAACCACCCGAAGTGCTGAAAGGTTCGTAGTATATAATGATAATTCAACTGAGGCAAAAGAAACTGGCTAGATACAAAACTGTCCAAGCAAATCTCCTCATCATTGCTCGGAATACAGCTTTTGCATCTGAGTAATGACGATTTAAAGAAAGAAAAAGGAATGGTAGATGATTTAGACAAATTGAGGGACAAAGAAAGGTGACCAAAAAGAACTAGACGCACTGCTATCAACAGCAAAAACAAAAGTTCCCTGACGGGGAATTGAACCCCGGCCGCGTCGGTGAGAGCGACGAATCCTAGCCACTAGACCATCAAGGATGGATATATTTTTGTCAGATGCTAATACATAGAGGTAGTATATGCAATTTGAGATCTGATCGAGATATAAATGGAAGTAGATATAGAGAGTGTGCAGGAAGATGTTATAGCCTTTTAGTTGAATGGATAAAAAGGTGCTTTATTAATATTAGATTTGAACATTGATTTTATCCAATATAGTTTGTGTAATGTTGTGCGCTATCCAGGTTAATCGCCGTTTAATGTTCCTGGTAGCTGGCGCTCTAAGTTTAAACCTGCGCTTCTTATTCTTGTTTGTGTTTAGTCTGTCAATGATATCCTGCAGATCTAAATCACTGTCAGAATACCCTTCAACCCTAACATTTTTGTCGTGCCTAAATTTAGGTTTAAGCCAAATTTGAAGAAAGCGACTAAAAGGCGCCAGCACATACCCGAAGGTTCTGGAAACTGATAGCAGCAGACATTGATCTAATTATCAGTTGCTATATCAAGTATTATATCTACTCGAAAGTTCTATTGATTAAGTAATTATCGATCGTAGAAATAATATAAATATAAGTTGTAAATGCAATTAATAAACAGTATCCTCGAACATAATCTCAAATCTATTAGTTACACTCTAAGTTATTTGTTAACTCCTACCATTAGATTTATTTATCAAGACGACAACAAATTGTCATTGATATGTTTGATGGGCTGTTACCTGAAGCCGTATTGCGACACAACGCCAATAAGAGGCGAGTGTTTAAGCCAACCATTCCGTTCCTCAGACAATTTAGAAAGAAGCAAAAGCTAACGGTAGTAGCTGACGTCAGCCGTAATCTATAGCTAGGATATAAACAATGTTTTGACTGAATTGAAAAAAGAAGATCTTTATCATCTCATCTAATATTCTATACATATATACCACCCATATATATTGTAAACGAAAGAATATATCAATCCTTGATGGTCTAGTGGCTAGGATTCGTCGCTCTCACCGACGCGGCCGGGGTTCAATTCCCCGTCAGGGAACTTTTGTTTTTGCTGTTGATAGCAGTGCGTCTAGTTCTTTTGGTGCTGTCGTTAATAGAGATATGGTTATTGAGTAGACCTTGGCAAATGTATTGTTACAAATCGATCTTGGTTTTGTAACTGAATCTCTCTTTTTTTGTTGTAAATTGCCTACACTATCGTATA